AAATCATTGGTGATTCAGCAGCACCAAGCAAATAGATATGATCATTAAGGTTCATGTCATAGTCTGTTTCATAGTAGTCCCAAAGGAACTCACTATGTGACTTAGAAAGTGATTGAACATCCAACTTTCTCAAGACTTTGACACCCAACTCTCCCGGCTTGTCAATATGTGACTTCATCTCTAAGATGTGATCACACATAGACCTTGCTTGCCATTAGGGCTTGAGTGACCTTGAACTTGTGGGTTAGGGAGAATAATTAGAGGAGGTGGAGGAAGAAAGTATGACTTCCATGAGCCAAACTCGGGAAGTCATATTCATTAGGAAAGCTTGGTTTGGGAAGATCATTGTTGTCTAAACCAGACATCAACAATGGGAGAAATTCACGTAAAGTTGATTTAAGTCCTTAATATAACACCCAATATGATATATTAAGGCTAGGACCCAACAAAATATTTTATAACTTGGAAGAGGGATGTCGTAATCCAAGCTATAAAATATTTGAAGGTAGGTGAATGACGATTCACCAATTTCCACCAAGATAAACGAAATGTATTATTAGGTTTTAATTGGTTTTGAAACTCCTAGATTCTTTTGAGATTCATTGAACTTTTCAATGGCATGTTTCAATCTCGAGTGTGCCCTTCAGGTTTTGTGACTGGGATGCCGAGGATCACAAAACAAGGTGTGAAGTAACCATGCAAATATACTTGGTACCCTTAATATTTACCCCTCAATCGATGTGCCGGTTAACCACACACGCTCCAACGATACTATGATAAACATTAAGTTACCCTTTGCCTACCTTGTTAAGTCCAGGTTAGTGTGCCGGTTAACCACACACGCTCCACTAACAGCTTAAACAAAGTGCAAAGTGTAATTTCATGGATTAGCACCTTATTCACATTTTCCTAAGTAACTAAGATTGGGAATTTATAAGTGTTTAGTTACTTAGTATTTATCATTATACTTATAATGAAAGGAGAATTATAGTCCTTGTCCTACCTGTTCGGCTAACAACCCTCCACCGGTCAAGGAAGCGGTGAGTGAGAGTGGACACCCATTAAACTGCCATTTTATAGGCAGTAACCTTATACCCCCCTTATAGACCGGCTTCGTGAATGAGGCCTACTAATGGTAAGACGACTTGCTCTTATACATATAATATATTAAACTTTTAATATTATAATAGTGAAAGGGTGTAATGTAGACATTTAAAATACTTGGTGGTTTAATCTATTAATTAAACTAGACTTTTAATTTAATTAAACTCAAACCATATATTTATGGATTAATAATACTCTTTGAATTAAACGCTTTAATTAACTATTAATAAAGTCCATAAAAGTTAATTTGAACTATTCAACAAAACATCATAATTCCAATTATTAAACTCAAAATTAAAACCATTTAATTAATTGTTTAAGTTATGAACCCAAGAGTTTTAGAATTCAATTTTTTTTTTCATAAAAAACTTTTCTCAAATTCCAAAACTTGAGGGCAAGTTTTGTAATTCTTGAAAACCTTTGGATTCCATAACTTATGGAATTAATGGTGTTTTATGATGAAACTTTCCATGTTCCATAACTTAAGAACAAGTTATGGAATTCTTTAAAACATTAACACCAAATTTTGTAACTCCATAAAAACTTTGAATAAATTTTTTTTTAAAAAAAAAAAAAAAACTTTCATATCCATAACTTATGAAAGTTTCAAAAACCCTTAAGATCACAACTTTAAAAAAAAAAACTATTGAGCTCCAAAATTTTATGACAAAATATGTAACTCCTTAAAACATTTAGATCAAACTTTTAAAACTAATAAAATAATCATATCATTTTATCTTTTATTAAATTTGACCTAATTCAACTCATATAACAAATGATTCAAATTTTACAAATAATTCGTTTTTCACAAAACAAGTAATTATCTTAAAATTTGACAAACGTCATGTTTTTTTTTCCTTTTTTTTCCAACTTGAAAATAAAACATTTGCATCAATATAACAGAAAACAACCCATGGCTCTGATACCACTATTGGGTTTTGAGCATTCTAACACTCTTATGGTGTACATGCAACCCTATAAACCTTGGATCTCTGTTTTCTCTATTATACATGCAAATATTAACTATTCCAAGGTTTCATCCTAACTAGCATATTATGAAGCACCTATACTACAAAGTTCTAGTTAGATGACATACCTTTTGATGTAGCTTGATGTCTTCAAGCCTTAAGAGCTTAGCCCCAATAGTGTGGAAGCCTCAAATGGAATCACAAATCACCAAAACACCTTGGAAGAACTTGAGAGAATATGTATGCACACTAAAATCGGCCCACTCTTATTTTCACACACTTGTGCCAATTTTGTGAGCCAAGGACCCCTTTATATATTATGGAGGATTAGGGTTACATCCATGTAAACCCTAATACCCATGACCTTTCATTTACATAGGATCCATGGGTTAAAAGCTCCATGGACCATCCATGAAAGCTTAGCCCAACCTAAATGAACTTGGCCCATTCCATATATATAAGAGTCCATATTTAATTAGTTCTTTTTGATCACTTAATTAATTCTAAATTAATTCTTGATCAATACTAATTAAATAATATGATTCCATATTAATATATTAGAACTTATAATATATTAATATAAATCATAAATATACTATTCTCAAAATACTATCCATATAAATTGTGCCGGTGAAGTGCAACCCAAATGGACCATGCCGGGTCGGGTCGAAGGGGTTGAAATATACCCAATACCGGTTGAAAGAGACCGAAGGGGTTGAAATATACCCAATACCGGTTGAAAGAGACCGAAGGGGTTGCAACCACCCATATATGCTTGATTGTTATGTATGTATGGTTTGGGGTATGTTGGGGGAACTCACTAAGCTTTGTGCTTACAGTTTTTAGTTTTGGTTTCAGGTATGCCAATTTTCAGACAAGGGAGCTTCGGATGATTGCAGGGCACGCACCACATGTTTCCGCATTTTATAATTTACTCTGATTAAATAATTTGATGGATAATTTTTTATTTGGCCTTATTTTTGGGACGTTACAGGCCCAAAAGTCAAAAGTCAACAAAAGTCAACGACCGCTGAGTACGCCCGACGTACTCAGACTTACGCCCAACATACGCCATCTTTGGCCAGTACGCTTGGCGTACGAGCTGGGTACGCCCAACGTACTCCACAACCAACCCATATCACCATTAAGTGTTTAATTAGTTAAGCAACTATGTCAAATTCTCAGATATGATCATAAATAATATCTTAACACGTAAAGTTGGCAACTTTACTCCTTTGCATGTCTTAATGGGACCCAACACTCAATACAATCCAAAATAAGAACTAACTCATGCATGGTCCATTATAACTCATCAAGATTGCATTTTTATGAACAAGGGACCTCAAAAATGCTAATATATATCATCCTTATCTTCTTGAGTAGCTCATACTCTAATGCATGACTTAAAGGACCTTAAAAAACACAAAAACAATCCCTAACTTGATCTAACAAAATGAACCATTAAGTTAAGAGCTTTATACCTCAAATAGCTTTCCAAGATGATGATGATTCTAGATCCACAAGCTCTAACCACACCAATGCAACTTCCAAGAGTTTCTCTTCCCGAAATGCAAATGTTATAGCTAATCTCACTGAACTTACTGTGATCAATCCCAGAGTACAAATGTAAATGACCATTTGATCATGTTAGTGATTAGGGTTTAGCCCCAAGCCCTTTAGGGTTTAGCCATTAGGCTTTAGGTATTCTCTGTATATTCTTAACAAAATTGCAAAAATGGTCCTTGTGGTATTCATTTTTTTGGGGTTTTAGTCCAAACCACGACTTTTTTGGATTGGTGGTCCTTTTGGCAATGTTTCTATGTAGAAATGGTCCCCCTTAAACATAAAATTACTAATATACCCTTTTAATTTGTTTTTCTCATTTTCTTAAGCATTTTATCCTTTATTTAATATTAGTGTAATAAAAAATAAAGTGGGGCCCACCCCACCCCTCTCTCTCTCTCTCTCTAAAATTTCTTCCTGGAAATTAAAACACACACACACAACTTCATCATCTTCTTCTTTGGTCTCGTTTCATACCCTCACTATCCCTCTACAGTTAGTTAATAAACACAGATACATAAAGCCACGTATCTGGGAATCGAAGTAGAAAATAAAGCCCCCAGATTTTCAAATCTTCCTCCCAATCTAGAAAAAAAACCAAAATCCTCGTCAAAATCAAGTTTAGATAAAAAAAAAACATGTAGAGAGCCATGTATCTGGAGGATGATGGATTGAATATGCCAAATTGGGGGTATTACGAACCTTCATCCTTACCACTTCAACCTCCCAAATCTGGACTATTAAAGATGTGATGGCTGATTTTGGAATCGATTACAGATGATGTTGATGCGATGGATGGTTCATCCCAAAGATATGATTTTGAAGTCTGTGGTTAATCCAAGTTGCGTGAAGATGCTCGAACCAGTTGTTGTTTGGAATATTTGGCCGCTTTCTCTTCAAATCCACCCCTCGATCTACAATCCGGTGACGAAGAACGTCAGAGCTAAGTAGCAACTTGAGACCGTGAAGCTGTTTGGGATCACGATTTATAGGTGAACAGGATTGTGATTTACAGATGAAAGGGATTACGATTTAAAACCTAGAAATTTTTGCAATCTTTCCAATTATTGACTCAAATGTCAATCGTGTCCCCCTCCTTTGTTCTTCTTTGAATCAGTGTGCGTAGAAGATGAGTCTTGTAGAAGAACGATGATAACAATGGCACTATAGATCTGAACGATGATAGTTGCAAACCCATGTATTGTGGTTTGACCTGGCAGCTTCGTCTTCGAGAACTGTGTTTGTTTTTCTTAGTGGAATTGAAGAACACATGAAGAAGATTAGAGAGAAACAAAGAGGATAGTCTAAAAACCCTAACTCCAGCATGAAAAACACCGACTCCGACGACTAAGGAGTTCTTAACCAATGATGGTGTTGTTGATCGATGGTAGTGGTGGTATTGACAAGGAGTAAAAATCAAAATAATAGGAAGATGACTCTTGTGTAGGAGAGAGAGAGAGAGAGAGAGAGAGAGAGAGAGAGAGAGAGAGAGAGAGAGAGGGCCCTTTTTTATTTTTTTTAATTATTAAAATAGATAAATTAGTATTAGATTTTAAAAAAATGAAAGAAAAATGGAAAATAAATACCCCAAGGGTATTACAGTCATTTCACTATTTGGAGGAACCAAAAACGCAACGAAACTAGTTCAAAATGACCACCAATCCAAAAAAGTCGTGATTTGGACTAAAACCCTAAAAAAATGCATACTATAGAGACCATTTTTGCAATTTTGTCTATATTCTTATGTAATTGTGTTTTAAGAATCAACCAATTTACTATCTAACAAATCATTCTCATAACAAGGTCATATATCTGTCTAGTTAAATCCAATTTCGGTAAACAATGATGATGTAGGGTTAATGTCACTGAACTTACTGTGATCAATCCCACAGAACAAATGTAAGTGACCATTTGATCCTTCTAATAACAAGGTCATATATCTAGCTAGTTAAATCCAATTTTGGTAAACAATGATAATGTAGGGCTAATGTCACTGAACTTACTGTGATCAATCCCAGTCACTGGACTTACCGTGATCAATCCCACTAATACTTAACTCCCATGTTTTCGAGTTTAAAATAAAGAAAATAACGAAAAGAAATTGGTCACAAATTTGCATTCCGGTGCTATCACTGTTCACAGTGTCTTTTGCCCCAAATTTGGCCATATAAAGTATAAACCCTTAATGTCTGCTTAGTTAGGGTTTCTGATATCGTTCTTCTTGTCCGGGTAAGCGCGATCGTTCGTTCGTAGGTTTTCGAGCGTGTAACACAGTGGGCGTTTTCAACCGAACTGTTATCCTGAAGGTAATAATTCAAATAAGGAAGTTCTTCTTTGTTCTTTGGATCGACTAGAATTTGAGCAAACTTCACGTATTCATTTTTATTTTTATTTTTTGAAATCTTAGATCTACTTGTTTGGCATTTGTTTACATGTGGAAATTAAAGAAACACAACTGAAACTCTAATTCTTCTAACTCACAATAAGTAGACAATTTAGCGATTGATTGGATTTGATCCGCTTCTGGTTTCTTGCTAATTTTGTTAGTATAAAGTAGTATAGCCTTTAATTTAATTAATCGATTAAGAAATGACAATTTTGCTAAGACTTGACTTGTAAAATAGAATCAAAACAAGAACAGAGAACAATTGCTTTCCAGTATTGATTGAATTACTCAAAATAACACAAGAAAACCCTAATGATTTACTAGAATTTCGAGAGTTCTAGTTCACTAGACCAGATTTCACACAAAAGCTCGCCCCCTCTCCTTCCCGCTACCCTCTAAACGTATCATAATGCAAAAAACTAAATAGATAAAATACCTAAATTACCCCTCCCTGATAAGATTCTCTTTATTCACTTGTCTAATATCAGAGTTATAGCACAATTTGAATATCGACAATTTATTTATTTATTGTTTTATTAATGAGACCGAATATGTTTTATGTTGAGAATTGATTAGATCATTTAATGCGAAGAATGATAGGATGGGTTACTAAATCCCTATGCCTTATTGTTGATAAATGAGAATTTTATTGCTTTCTGATTGCTTTAATTTTTAAGCCAGCCGGGTCAAATATTATATGCTTTGGGGTTAACCTCACTGCTTTACAAAGCTCGTATTACCATTTAGGCCAATACACCCTCCCATAGGAACGTATCAGCTTAGCTTTCATAAGTTTCATTGTTTCGGAACCTAAACAATACATGTGTGTGTGTGTGTGTGTGTGTTGGTAGTATGATTAATTTCATAGATTGAGTTTGAGAAGGTAATTTTGTAGGTTGTTATTCTTTTTAATGGAGATCGAAATTGCTTTTGGTGTTTGTGGGTTTATTTATTGGTTTATTATGACTTATGAGTATTGAAGATTTAATGATTGTGTTATGATGCTTTGATACCTAGGGCGAAAGTTTGTTGGGGAATCCGCTGCCCGCAATACAATGGCCTGGCGAACCCATGGTGATGGTTGATTGGATATTGCAGGCAGTGGAATATGTTGCATTTGTCTTTTTGTATATTGATGATCATGTAGAAAGAATAATAGCGGGTATCCGTGGGTTGTGATAGCTGCTTCTGGAGCATCAGTTGCAAATAAAACCATATCCATTACAAAACCAAGTACCAGAACACGAGAAAAGTAGGCTCGCAGGTGATACGTATCGTGTAGAAAGAATAATAGCGGGTATCCGTGGGGTGATTCACGATACGTATCACCTGCGAGCCTACTTTTCTCGTGTTCTGCTACTTGGTTTTGTAATGGATATGGTTTTATCTGCAACTGATGCTCCAGAAGCAGCTATACAACCCCGGTTAACAACAACAAACCTTGGGTGATCGGTGGTGTTGTTACTGCTTCTGTCCTTCTCCTTATCATTCTCAATCTTCTTGTTTGGTACCTATGTACGCGTAGAACAAGAAGACTACACGAGAGTGTTAGGCTAAGTAACTGGGAATATGAAGGCGGACCCACCTACACTAGCTTTCCTTTCAGCGAGATTGTGAACGCAACTAAAAACTTTGACAAAGCTCAAGTTATCGGCGAGGGTGGATTCGGGAAGGTCTACATTGGAACACTCAACGATGGGACCACCGTAGCTATCAAACACGGGGGCACAGGTCGCAACCAAGGCAAGAAGGAATTCGAAGCCGAGATTTCAATGCTTTTGAGGCTCCGTCATTTTCACCTCATTTCTTTACTCGGTTATTGTTCAGAAAACTCCGAGATGATCCTCGTATACGAGTACATGGAAAGCGGAACCCTCCGTCAGCATCTTTATGACATAGACAGCCCCTTACCAACTCACGATCCGTTAACGTGGATCCAACGGCTAAACATTGCAATACATTCAGCAAGCGGTTTGCATTACCTTCATACGGGATTCCAGAGCCCCATTATTCATCGCGATGTTAAATCCTCCAACATTCTCTTGGACAAAAACCTCAATGCCAAAGTGGCTGATTTCGGGCTATCAAGAGAGCGCCCTGCTGTGGATAACGCTCAGCTAAGCAGTGCTGTGAAGGGTAGTTTCGGGTATCTAGACCCAGAATACTACCGGCGACATAGATTGACCGAGAAGTCGGACGTGTACTCTTTTGGTGTGGTGCTTTTCGAAATCTTGTTTGCCCGCCTTGCCTTGGACGAGACACGTCCCACGGAGCAACAGTTGTTGTCTGAAAGGGCTATACACTGTTACAGAAACAACATTCTTCAGCAGAATATCGACCCGTATCTCATGGGTGAAATCAGGCCGCAATGCTTCAAGTTGTATGCTGAAACTGCCATCGCGTGTCTTGCTGACAAGGGGGAAGATAGGCCCTCGATGGGGGATGTACTTGTGAGCCTCCATCTTCAAGAGAGTAACGATCTTTTCCTCCGGATGGCACCCGAGGGTTTCGATGGAACTGTAGGAGGTAATTAAGGAGGTTGTTTTCGTAGAGATTTTGTTTCTGTATCTGTAATTAGCTTAGAGGTACATCATTCTAGACTCTTCCAGGATAACCCCTAAGGGGTCTGGTGCTTTTTGCTTGGTTGGTGGTTCATAGTTTTATGTTTATTTGGGCACTGCTGCGTGTGCGTGTGTAGATTAGAAATTATTAATATACATTTTGACAGTTTTGGTCAAAATATATTTGAAAATTTAAAAATAAAAACTTTTGAAATGAATGAAATAATTTTTTAAAAAGCTAATTTATAGGTTACTTTGGCAGATTGGCTTAACAAAACAACAATTCAAAAAAAAAAATTTCAAAAAATAATCGAACTTATCTGCCCAAACGGCCAACACAAGTTTAAGCCCCCCGTCCCTTTGTGGTGAATAATACATTTACTTAGAATCTTTACAAGGACACATACTCATTGCTCAAATCTTTCCATTGGGGGACCTTTAACACGGCCCAAGCCCATCCAGCATAATCCGTTCGTTATACAACTAAAATTATTAAATAAACCTATTTATCAATAAAATTGTTAATAAATCGTTTACTTCACCTTAATACCTTAACTAGTGAAGATTCCCTGCTTTGAAAACACTCAAAACCAAATACATTCATTATTTATAAATTAAAAAAACTACCATCTTCCATTCATCAACTCAATAAACTTTCATGCATCTTGCTTGTCCTTAAATCTTACCAAAACTAACCTTTAAAAAAATGAATGTTTTTTTTTTCTTCTTTCAATGATATAGATTACCATTGTCTTGATAAGCCAAATCCTCAAAGGACATTGCTGGGGTAGTTTCATTAAACACATAAGTAAGATCATCTTCATTGTCGTTTGTATTGCTCCATAGGCTATTAGAAGCATCTGCTTACAACCATTTTAACAACTCATAAATAATAAATGTCAATAGCCTATATACTATATATATATCATGTTTAAGAAAGATAAAGAATTTTGTGTTGAGTGATGTTATGAACTCAACACACAAATTATCAATTTATCAATGAAACAATGGCAGCCTCTATATGGTATTCAAGTTCATAACAAGAACAACGAGAAATGAGGAATTAAACAATAAGATATAGCTATTCGAGATGCTATGGTCTCCAAAAGAAGAAGAAACTTCTAATATTCTGCCTGCCTCTAACTGAGAGGGACTCTTCCTTAAAAAGACTGACCATAACAGAGGGTCTGCCTTATTTCCCAATTTACCCCTGCTGTCCCACCAACCTGGTACTGCCATCGTGGGTATTTCTGGTCCCCACAGAAGTGGGAATCTTTTTGTGCCTCCTTCTCTGATAGGTGAACTGCAATGGTGGGTGCACTACATTACTCCTTCCCCAAAGGTTGACCTTGTCCTCAAGGTCAAATTCCGGAAATGTTTGTTGGATTGTCATAAAATCCTCCCAGGTTGATTCAAATTCCGGAACGTCTTTCCACTTGATCAATACCTCCATTTTGGGCCCATACTCTTCCACTTGGTTCCTCACCCCTAGAACTGTTTCTGGTTCCCAATTGAGTATCATTTCTTCCGATAGATGAGCTGGTAAGGTGGGCCTTGCCACGACATCTCCAATGGCTCTCCTTAGTTGCGAAACGTGGAACACCGGGTGAATTTTGGCAGACCAGGTAACTGGAGCTGATAAGCGACCAACCCAATCTTTTTGATGATCAAATAAGGTCCATAGTACCGAGCTGCTAACTTCTGGAATGGTCTGTGAGCCATCGATCGATGTCGGTACGGTTGTAGTTTCAGGAACACCCACTCCCCTTCATTGAATGACACGTCCTTGCGATTTCTATCAGCCAACCTTTTCATTTTATGCTGAGCTTGTGTGAGATGTTCCTTAAGATCATCAAGGATTGCATCTCTTTCCAGGAGTTGTTCTTCTACCGAGGATACAACTGTCTGTCCTTTTTGCATCCTAAGGATTTGGGGTGGATCTCGACCATATAAAGCCTTAAAGGGAGTGATCTTTCCAGACGTGTGATAAGCTGTATTATGCCAAAACTCCGCCCAATGTAACCATTTCGACTAAGACCGGGGATTCCCTTGAATGAAGCAACGAAGGTAGAGTTCCACTAATTTGTTAACTATCTCCGATTGGCCATCTGTTTGCGGGTGGTAGGCGGTGCTCCTGAGCAAGTTGGTGCCCTGCAGTTTAAATAATTCGCGCCAAAACACACTCAAAAAAACCTTGTCCCGATCAAAAACAATGGACTTGGGAAACCCATGAAGCCTCACAACTTCCTTGATGAATATGGCTGCCACCGAAACTGCTGTGAACGGGTGTTTCAAAGCTATGAAGTGTGAATATTTGCTGAGTCGGTCCACCACCACGAGAATGGAATTGTACCCATTCGAATTCGGAAGCCCTTCTATGAAGTCCATAGAAATGTCATCCCATACCTGATCTGGGACTGGAAGAGGTTGTAGAAGTCCAGCTGGGTGGGTGTTTAATGATTTATGTGTTTGACAAATTTGACATTCCCGCACATACTTTTGAACCGTTTTTCTCATTCCTACCCAGAACCATTCGAAGGCCAACCTTTGATATGTTCTCAGTTCACCCGCGTGTCCCCCGATCACAGAATCATGGAATTCGTGTAGCAGGCTCGGTATCAATGTGGAATTGTGGGGAATTACCAACCTACCCTTGTATAAAAGTCTATTATTCTCCACTGAATACCCGACATGGCCCTTGTTGCCTTCAGTGATGTCTAACTTCACTTGTTGAATGAATGGATCACCCCCGATTTCTTCATTAAGCTTCTCCAAGGGTAAGGACCATGTTTAATGGAGCACATGTAATTCTGGGTTAGAATCATTCCTTCGTGAGAGAGCGTCCGCTACCTTATTCGTGGGACCCGGCTTGTAGTGAATTTCAAAATCAAACCCCATCAGCTTGTACATCCATTTCTGGTATTCTGGGCCAACCTCCCTTTTCTCCATTAGAAACTTTAGACTTCGTTGATCAGTTTTGATGATGAAGTGTCTTCCCATCAAATAGTGTCTCCATTTCCTTACCGCCAGGACTATAGCCATTAGTTCTTTCTCATAAATGGACTTGAGTCGATTCCTTACTCTAAGGACTTGGCTGTAGTACGCAACGGGATGTCCATCTTGTGTTAAGACGGCCCCAAGACCAGTTCCAGATGCGTCCGTTTCCACACTAAAAACCTTAGAAAAGTTAGGTAGTGCTAGGATGGGCGTATTTGTGAGAGCGGATTTCAGAGCCATAAAAGCCTCTGTGGCCTCCTTACTCCAACTGAAACAGTCCTTCCTCAGCTGGTCGGTCAATGGGGTTGCAATTCTCGCGTAGCCAGCTATAAACTTCCTGTAATACCCCGTGAGTCCTAAAAATCCTCTCAGCTCCTTAACAGTTGTCGGAAGAGGCCAGGCCACCACAGCCTTAATTTTTTCATCATCTACCGCCACACCATGTTCCGACACCACATGACCCAGATATGCTATCCTACATCTACCCAATTCGTATTTGCTCGGATTGGCATACAATTCATGTTTGACAAGAATCTCCAACACTATTTCCAAATGCCTGACGTGTTGCTCTTCCGTTTGACTATATATTAGAATGTCATCAAAGAAGACTAATACGAACCGCCGAAGGAAGGGCTTAAAGATCTCATTCATGACAGATTGGAACGTGGCTGGGGCATTCGTCAAGCCGAAAGGCATGACATTAAACTCATAATGACCTTCGTGGGTCCTAAAAGCGGTTTTTGGCACATCCTCTTCCTTCATCCGAATTTGGCGGTACCCGGATTTTAAATCCAGTTTTGAAAAGATTCTCGACCCGTGCAATTCATCCAAAAGCTCGTCTATAACTGGGATTGGAAACTTGTGTTTAACGGTGATCTTGTTAAGACTTCTATAATCCACACAAAATCTCCATGACCCATCTTTTTTTTTGACTAACAAAACCGGGCTCGAGAAGGGACTACGGGAAGGTTGTATGATTCCCGATTGGAGCATATCACGTAACAACCTTTCAATCTCTGTTTTTTGGGCGTAAGAATACCTGTAGGGCCTTACTGAAACCGGTCCGGCACCAGCCTTCAATTGGATTGCATGTTGTTGGTTCCTTGGTGGTGGAAGACCACCCTTCCAATTAAACACCTTAGCGAAATTCCGGACCAAATGGAATAGATACGGTGGAGCTGGTGGTACGTCTGGAGTCGGGGCCTGCATCTCCAGGTGGCTGTATTGGACCAAGTATCCTCCCCCAACTGCCCCAAGAGTTCTCACCATGGTCTTTAAGGAAATTCTAGCTCGTTCCAAGGAAGGATCCCCCCGTAAGGTGACCCACTGCCCATTCACCTGAAACTTCATTATTTGAGTCTTCCAATTAGTAGTAACCGCTCCCAACTTCTCTAGCCATTGAATTCCTAAGATAACATCGGAATTGCCAAGAGTGAGAGGAAGGAAATCCTCCCTGATATCCAAGCCCTGCACCTGTAGAAGAATCCCTTGGCACCTTCCTGTTCCTGAAACTGCCTTCCCTGTCCCCAAGGAAACTCCAAACTCAGCGGTTGGTATGACAGGTATGTAGAGCTGGTTAATGGTTTGCAGAGAGAGAAAATTATGAGTTGCCCCGGGATCAATAAGGACCACCACTTCTGATTCTGCTATGGTTCCTTTGAGTTTGAGAGTTTTTGGGTTTGTTAGCCCCATCACTGAATTGAGGCAGATGCCTGATAAGGTTGTGATTTCTTGGGGAGGAATTTCTGTCTCTTCCGATTGAGGGTCCGTTTCCTCTCTCTCTTCTTCCTGCATGAGCAAGACACTCAACTCCTTCTTTTTGCATTGATGGCCCGGGTTCCGTTTATCATCACATCGATAACACAACCCCTTCTCCTTCTTGTGTTGTAGTTCCTTATCCGTCAACCTTCTTACTTCCCCTGATACTCGATTGTTCACCGTCTGGCTCGCCGGGGTATAAATTGGAGGTGGCGCTATGCTCTTGGAAGAGTAGATGGTAGTTTTAATGGGAGTAATCAAGGGTGTTCCTGATATGCTTCCAGTGGTGTTCGTTCGCTGGGTGACAGGAGAGGGATGTGGTTTGCGTTTAAGTTGGGATTGAAGCTTCTGTTCGACCTTGATAGCCATCGTCATGACGTTTTCAACGGACATGGGGCTCAATAACTGGACCTCCGACCTAATTTCACCATTTAGCCCATTGAGGAATTGGCCCAAAGTGATGTCTTCGGGTATGTTGCTTAGCGGTGCAAGTCGTTCAATAAATGCCCGCTGGTACTCTAAAATCGACCCGGTCTGAGTTAGGGCGAGCCATTGTTGATGTAACGTACTTGCGTTAGTCGGTCGAAACTGCCTCAATAACAGCGATTTCATCTCCTTCCATCGCGTCACCGGTCGACGAGTGTGTTCCCACTGAAACCACAGAAGGGTGTCGCCTTCAAGGGCTACCACCGCTGCCTCCAGCTTATCCGCCTCTGAGAGTCTGTAAAAGTTGAAGTATCGTTCTGCCCTCAAGATTCAGCCGTCCGAATTTTCACCGTCAAACAAGGGCATATCCAGTTTCCTGAACCTCCAATTGGTTCCTCTACCGTACTCGCCTCCCTGTGACCGGCCCCCGCCGTCGCTGCTTCCACCCGTACCTGAACCACCGCTCCCCGTCGGTTTTGATCCTCCACTGTTATCCTTCGGGGTTTCCATCGTGGAGATAACAGGTTCGTCGAACGATTCTCCTTCTGTTGACTTCTTTCCTCTACCGATGGGCCCTTAATACCTCTTCAAACTTCTGGTCCATCTTCATCTGTATTGAAGCGATAGAGTCAGCCTGTTGTTGGATCTGGTGTCCTTGATTCTCCATTCTGTCGTTCAAATGCCCTAACTCTGCCTCCAAGGATTCAACCCTCTTGAGTTGGGTTCCTCCGACTTCTTTTCCTCCAGCCATGATCCCAAATGATTGCTCTGATACCAATTTGTTATGAACTCAACACACAAATTATCAATTTATCAATGAAACAATGGCAGCCTCTATATAGTATTCAAGTTCATAACAAGAACAATGAGAAAAGAGGAATTAAACAATAAGATATAGCTATTCGAGATGCTATGGTCTCCAAAAGAAGAAGAAACTTCTAATATTCTGCCTGCCTCTAACTGAGAGGGACTCTTCCTTAAAAAGGCTGACCATAACAGAGGGTCTGCCTTATTTCCCAATTTACCCCTGCTGTCCCACCAACCTGGTACTGCCATCGTGGGTATTTCTGGTCCCCACAGAAGTGGGAATCTTTTTGTGCCTCCTTCTCTGATAGGTGAACTGCAATGGTGGGTGCACTACAAGTGATGAGTCTCACTTATTTGCAAACCATAATCTTCACCTTCCCAATCCCACATTTCACTACTGCAATTCAAGAAAATAAAGAAAGACATCATCAATCCACAAAATTATTAGACTAAGAATTATGAAATCAAACAAAATCCAACTCCCAGATTTTTCTTTTAAAAGCCTAAACACCACAAAATTGGTAGAAGAAATCCGTCTGCAACACTGACATAGAATCAATCTGTATTTTTTCCAATACACATAACACATCATATAAACTCACAAACAACTGCATTTGAAAACACCATCAAGCAATAAAAATAGTAGAGTAAAATCCCTAAGCTAACAAACAAAATTAACGAAATCAAACATAACTCAAGTCCCAAATTTTTTAAATAAAATCTGTTAAAAGTCCCACAAAATCATTTTTTGACTTTAAAAAACAAAAGGAAATTATCAAGCCTACCATTAAACACTTCACCACCCTTAAAAACATAAAGCCTCCATCTTATTTCTGGTTTCCGTGCATGTGGTGGCTGAGTAAACAACAGTGTCAATTAAACCATTATTTATCATATTAATTTATTTTCTCGAAAATCTGTTTGTGTTATCTATATAAAAAGCGAGAAGGAAGAAGTGAACAAAAGACTCACTCACCCTTGAATCAATTGATCTCAGCTACAAGCTTTCTAGCCAACTCAAAAGAAGGCTTTTGCTGCAACAAAGTAGAACAAAATGATCAAAGCACAAAAAGAAGTATTTCTCAAGCATAACCCTAAATCATGAAACAGAAAGGAATGAAATCTATACAGATTAGAAGCTTGGGCTGAGTAACAACAATCTTAAACATATCATTTACCTGCTTCCTGCTTCTCTTTTGCTTTCTCTTCCTCCTCCTATTGACGCAAACAGAAAACATCAAAAAAATTTAATCAATTAAAAAAACATGAAAAAAGTGAAAAAAAAACAATTTCCATAATCGACTGATATACAAAAAAAAATTTATATATATATATATATATATATATATATATATATATATATATATATATATATATATGAAAAAAGTGAATATACCTTAAGGTTACGTACCCGATCTACAAAAACTATGATGTTTTGATATCTTCATTAATTTTCTGAAAAAAAAAACAATTTCCATAATCGACTGATATCATCGAACACGAAGATATTTTTCTGATTTCACATCATTTGTTCCTGATTAATCCCACAAACATGTTTTTCGATTTACTTCACACATCTTCGTCTCTTCCAGTACTAGCCTCGACATTCACACATCTGGGCATCCCCGTTGTATACAATCGAAGCCCTTCCCCTGTTGCCGAATATCTCACCTACGAAGCAAGGCATCTTCAGGTCAGCCCGGCGAGACGAAGCAGGCATCCCCCAGCCTCCAATCCATCATAACAAGATAAGGTACTTTTGATTGTGTATGCTGATCAGGTAAGTAGGGGAAGAAGGCAATTGTGCACATAAGGTGCTCGATGAAATGCCCAAATTCAGAAAACTGGAACTTGAATGCTTGATCGATTCTTTCTCCATCTTTTTTTTATTTCCTTTTTTTTAAACTAGAGTTTGATGTAGTCAAACACATGTAATAGTTGAATCTAGTTATATAATTTTGACAGCCCATTAGCTCTTTCTATATGAATTATGGAATCTCATTTTTATAAATAAACTCAAATTCTTAGACCTACATACTTCTTTTATTTGTGAAATATGAATTATGGCACCCTACATCTTTGAAAGTCAGGATCAAGAACACTCATTGCAGGCTCTTCTTCATGATGTTCTTCTTGAATATTCATGGACATGGTTTTATTTGTACTAGAGTTAGCGTTATTTGAAATTGTTAATATAAAAGATTCAGTTCACTCTTTTATGTAAACTGATATTTATCATTTATGTATCATTTCCTATTGTACTCAGAATCTATATCCCTATCAGGACCCTGATTTTGTAGTGGAACCGATGACAATCCAAAATACTTCTTAGTCTATAAGATCATCACCTCCATCGTCATCATCATCTACAACAGAACGCAACCCATCTCAGAACTCAGGTTGATTATTTTCTTTCAAATTTATGTGATTTGAATTGCATCACTACTCTTCAACCCCTTAAGTTATTAAACTTTGTATGATCAACTACACGAGCAACAGGAGCATCAACTATGAATTTAACTTCAAGCAATACAATTTTTTGTCAATACTTGGATGTTTGCAGTGGTTGTGCTTGCTATGTTCCCAATCATAACTTCAAGTTTTTCTAATATGGCTCTCTATATGGGGTGAGTAATAATGACTTCATCATCATTGAATCTTATATATGATTCTCATTTCATGATGTTGGTATTCTTTATATTTGCAGAAACCAAGGGCATGGAATTGCAACCAAGTATTTTATCTACTTCATTTACTACCTCATAGATATTTGATACGAGCTGTTAAAAGAAGACTGCTTTTTTTTTTAGATTTTTTTTTTCTTGATATAAGGTACACTTCAAAGATGTTTTAGGAAAGTAGCAAAAGACTACAAGCCTAATCCAAAAGACTCCCAAGCACACACAAACAGTACTCAACATCCACACATGTTATATCCCTTCATCAACTCAATAAATTAAGCAATTGTAGTCCGAAGCCATGGATAGGGGCAAAATCGTCCAACAAGGCAAGATTGTTCTTATGTGTTTAACTTTAATTTTTGTCTTGTAATTGGTATTTTTCTAATTATATTATTTGGTTTTTTAATCGTACAACAGGAACGTGTTTTTATACACCGTAAGCTTGCCCATTTGGTTCACATTGCTGGTAATCTTGACTCTCAATTTCACTTTTGATTTTCAAATTCATTATGCTTGGTTGTGAAACTGATTTTATACAGTTAGCAAGAACAACTGTGTCCTAATTCTTTATTTCATAACAGGTGGTGGTAGTAAATTTCCAAATAGCCCTCTTGATGTACCTTTGGTTATTGGATATGCTCCATTGAGACACAAACTTAATATTTTAATCATGCTACTCAGCTACTGTTACTTAATGATTTTTGTTATATTTGTAGACTAGAAAAAAAGGCCATAATTTGATTTTGGTTATTATTATTTTTGAAAGAGTTTAACCTCTATAAGGATTTGTTACAAGTTTCTAGTGAAGATGCAATTAACATGGCTAGAGAATTGGCCTTAAAAGAAGGACCCTATACATATTTAATACAAAATTCCCCGATGTTAAAATTGCAAACCACTTATACATATTTAATACAAAATTTCCAACTTTATGTTTATTTGAAAAGGATGTTTTACAAATCAATCAATAGTTACATACTTCTATTAACATACTAAACATTGCGATTTTTATGAAAAAAAAAAGTACTGATTTGTGAAAAAAAAGTACAAAATTTTGGAGAGAGGTATGTATCATCTATTTTGTTTGAGAAGTTGAGGAAAGAATTAGAATAAATGCAACCAGTTTCAGTTGATTAACTGATTTGTTAAAAGACGATAAACAATGTAATATTTATGTTCCCAAACTGATAAACTCAATACCATTTATCATGACTTTTCCAGTTTCATATAAAAACCATGCCAAACAGCCAATGATTGAGGTCCATGTGGGTGAGAAAACCAGAAAAATATATAATTAAGTAATGGACCAGTCATATAGGGTAGTCACAATAATAATGGTAATTTTATATTCGAAGTTTCGAACTATGGTATCTCAATATGCATCACCAGGTTTGTATGATTCAACATGCTATTGCTCATGACATTTCATCAAGATTAAATGAAAGAAATAGAAATGTACTTTCTTTGATTAATTTATTGTAGCATCCTAATTTTACTTCTCAATGAATCTACAAACTCAGCAATGTCATTTAAATACACTCAATGTACTTTCTTGAACATGATTCTTCTTCATCACATATAATCTATGCTTTCATAAAATCCCATTTGTCTCATACATACAACACGAACATGTGACGTTGACTTGATTTAAAGAACGAAAGGTAACAATACGCCAATATTTTTTTATCAACATCCAATTGCCCAACTCTATATGTGCTTTCTTCTGTAGTTTTTGTTAGAGTCTCATGAGTCAAATTGGTAATAGCTTTGGTCCATTCTTTATTGAAAGTATCAAACATCTTTCTAGTATAACATTGACTTGCTTTTGCTTCGATTGGATGCACTAAAGAAAGAACCGGCCTTGAGTTTATAGTCTTGAAGTCTTCATCTTCTTTGGCAACCCTTCGTGACTCAACTGCTTTGTCGTATTGCACAACGAATTCATTCAACATGGTCCTCGAGTTAACAAATCCATCAAAAAATGAATTGATACTCTCACTTCGTCTGGTTGTGGTCATACCAGCAAAGAAAATATCCTTCATGTAACGCCCGGTTCCTGGTAGGTATTTTAAAGAAGAATTCTCATTTTTGCAAAGGGACTCGACAAGTTGGAGGCCCTAAACTCGTCGAGTAGAAGTGGGAATAAGTTTGGACGCGGGTTGAGAAACCTACTCGACGAGTTGGGGAGGACCAACTTGATAAGTTGGAGCTGGAGCATGAAACCCTAATTTTGGGGTTTTGCACCCTATTTAAGCATCTTATTCTCCACTTGTTGGCCTCATTTGCTGCCTCCGTCGTCATAAACCCTAGATACAAAACCCTATTCCACCCTTGAGTGTTTTGGAGCCATTATTGTGTGTTCTTGGTGACTTTGAAGCTTGAGAAGGAAGGAAAAGCTTGAGGATTCTAGAAGGAGGCAGTAGATCCAGAGTTCAAGCTTCATTTCAGACTCATTTGAGGTAAAAAGCTTATACCTTGACTTCCTATCACTTAGATCCTCATTTAGGTTAGTATGTTGTCACTTTTGGGCCATTTTGAAGTCACTTTCGGGATTTGAGTGTTTTGTGGAGTTGTGACTTCAGATCTAGGCACATATGAGCTCATGAAGCTCAAAGTTGCCAGCTTTATTAGCCCATGGCCTTTTCTCCATGCCCTAGATCTTCTTTTTAGCTTGGTTCTTGGTGTTTCAAGCTCATAACACCATGTAAGGACGTAAAGTTAGCAACTTTACGTGTTATCCTAGCCCTAGGGAACCAGATCTGTGATTTAGAAGCATTAGACTCGATTGGAATCGACTAAATGAGTGAGGGCTAAGAGGAACTCGACGAGTTGCTCATGCAACTCGGCGAGTTGGATTGTGACTCCCTACTTTTCTGACTCCGGAGCAAACCAGTGAGCCTAGGAGATGACTCAGTGATTGGTTAAGGTTCTCCGAGTTTTGAAGACTGAGGAACTCGTCGAGTGCAATGAAGAACTCGACAAGTTGTTCCGGTTTGTCTCGACTCTGTTTGAAGGAGAACTCGACGAGTCCAAGGAGGAACTCGGCGAGTTGTGAGTAAAATGTCCCGACTCGATTTGAAGGGGAACTCGACGAGTTCATGACAAAACTCGACGAGTAGGATCGAGATTTCCAGAGTTTCATGGATCAGGAACTCGACGAGTTGATGGACCAACTCAGCGAGTTGAGTCAACCAGAATGTTGATTTTGACCATAATGTTGACTTTGACGTTTACTTTGACCCGAGGTTGACCCTTAGAGGGTTATGAAGTTCGGAATGGATGCTAGAGGGTTGTCCCATGTAAGGGTTGGGGCCCAATTTGGAAAATTGGGCCAATAGTGAGCCATTGGTGGGCTCTTATGGATTTTGGAGTTTTAGACTTGATTGATTTTGGACTTGGGCCTTAGCTAAGTATCTTATGGCCCAGGTTATTTTACCCAAGTAAGGATTATGGACCATGGTTTGGAACCCAATTGCTAATTGGGTGATGTTTTGGTATTGATAGCCCAGGGAGTTGCCAGGACAGCAGCTAAAGATTTCCTGCAATGGACTTCAGCGGTGTGAGGTGAGTTACCTTCCAGTAGAATTGGGTCTACGACCACAATGACGGCCCACTAGTAGGAGTTGATTGTTAGAAGATTATCTTTGTGATAATTATCTAGGTTTGCTACTACTTGATATGTTATATGTGCTAGCATGATATGATGTTATGTGATAGTGGTAGTAGGGGGAATAGTCCCCGTGTCACGGTCGTAAGGACCGAAGGGTAGGTCAGGCACCCCAGAATTGCCTGGCAGGGTAGGTCGGGCACCACAGAATGGCCTGACAGGTAGGTCGGGCACCCCAGAATTGTCTGACTGTATGGGGGAACTCACTAAGCTTCGTGCTTACTGTTTTCAATTTTGGTTTCAGGTACTTCGTTTTCAAAGTAAAGGAGTCGGCTCGACGCAGCGCGTCACACTATGTTTTCCGCACATGAGATCTTTGGGATTACACTCTAATATAGTTTTCTTGACACTTTGGTTTTGACAATCGAAACTAGAAACATATGCAATATTAATAGTTAAAAGTGAAATCATTGGTGAATTATAAATTGCTTTGCCTATGAATTTCAACGAAAAAATTAACACCAAAATTTTTCGACTAATTTGATACACCAAAAAATTAACACCAAAATTTTTCTATAAATTGCTTTGCCTATGAATTTCGATTTCTTTGAAATCGTTTTTGAAGAATCTGAAATTTTACATTTAATAGTTAGATACCATCATCACAATATAAATATAAATTTTTTATATCAACTAGTTAAAGATTTAGAAGGGTGTAAATTACATAATTTATGACTAAATCCTTTTGATAATGATTTATGTAACTAATAAAAGAATAAAAAAAACACCTGCAATATATTGGATGAATAGTGCATGCGAAGGGAATTTAAGAATGTTATATTCAAGAAGTTAAATACTCAAATTGATAACAATAACTAATTAACAATGAATGGAATTTCATAATAGAGAAAAAGATAATGAATGAAGTGGAACGAACCTGTGATGCAAGAATGACGGCTACCTATTAGTGATAGTATGGAAAAAAAAAATTCACAACCGGCTAAAGGAAGAAGGCGATTATGGAAGCAGAAAATCAAGAGGGATCGACTTTAGTTGTTATTTTTTTTTTCAATAAGGAAACAATAGTGTTTAAGGAAATTGTAATTTTTTTCAATAAAATTAAACCACCAATCAAAACTACATAGTTTTAAGCATTGGGTACCTAATCTTATATACTCTTAAGGGTATATTCACTTTTCTCATATATATATATATATATATATATATATATATATATATATATATATATATATATATCTATATATAATATATAGAGAGAGAGAGAGAGAGGAGAGAGAAAAAAAGAGAGAGAGAGAGAGAGAGAGAGAGCTAGGTTCAAATGTGGATTGACATCTATTGTGCGGACGTGTGGACAATGTTATTATGTGAGAACGATAAAGAAAATATGTTGTTTGATAATATGAATACGTTCAATCTTACATAACTATTGTCATTATCACACATTCTCACTAATTAAATCGTCTATGAGGTTATTATAGACTTTTTATTATTATTCTCATTATGTCAGAATGTTGTCAGAATATTTATTGAGTCGTATTCTGGAAGAATAAAAATGAGTGAAAAACGATGCGTGAGAACAAAAATAAATAAGAATTAGTGAGAATGCATGAAAATGACGATAGTTGTGTGAGGTTGAACATATTCACATTACTAAACAACCTATTCTCCTAATAATTCTCATAGAATATCATTGTCCACACGTCCACACAATAGTTGTTCATCCACATTATAACCTAACCCTATATATATAGATATCTATATATATATATATATATATATATATATATTATATATATATATATATATATATATATATTATAATGTATGTGTATTTATTGGAATGTAAAAAGGGATAATTACTTAAAAGGATAACATATTTTTCGATCTGTATATATTTGTTCATTTAGTTTTTTTCGTCTATATTTGTCCCTTTAATTTATTTAACTGTACACATTCAATCTTTATGACCGGCTACTTCATATAAGTCGGAAAAATAACTTAATAGGGTAATATATTTCTCATTTTACACATTTTGTCATTAACATCTTTTTTCATATTTAGTCCTTAATACTTTTTTGTTGCAAAATAAGTTC